AATGTCCACACCGACACTGCCTTGTCTGGTGCCTCCTTAGACTTTATGACTGCCATGGAATCGTTAGGACTGTCCCAGGTTGTATTGACCCCCGTGCATAGAGCAGGCCACACGCTGGATCTGATCTTTTGTGCAGAAATTGATCTGGATTCAGTGGCGCTTTGTGAACCAATGCCATGGGCTGAGCATTACCTTGTGAAGGTCGGTTTGAGATTTGCCTCCTCCCTCTGCAGGGGCAGCGCGCTTATTTATGCTCGCCCATGGAGACCAGGCTTCCCAAGTACTTACCGTGATTCAGCGGGGGGACACAGACGTCCTCGCAGGATCATTCCTGTGGGGACAACAGACGCGCCGCAACATGCCGTCGCCAGGAAGTGACGCCGGGCGACGCTCTGGCAATGGGGCTGGAAACTCGATGGTACCATCAAGTTTTCAGCCCCATTGCCAGAGCGTCGCCCAGCATCACTTCCTGGCGACGGCATGTTGCGTTACGGGGAGGAATGGTCCGACCGGGGAGCATGTTTCCCCCGCCGGATCACGGTAAGTACTTGGGAACCCTAATAGAGACTCATGGATCCAATCAGATTCCACAATGCTCTGCGGGATTTTTCTGGCTCTGCCAGCAGCTCTCTCCGTGAGCTCACTGAGGCCTGGAATTTGGGCCTTCAGGAGGCCACTGACCAAGTTGCCCCCACCCCCCAGTGCCCTCTTCTCCCCCATACTACCTTGGCCCCCTGGTATATGGATGAACCAAGGGTGGTACAAAGGGGGCTTAGTTGGCTAGAGCGGTGCTGGTGATGAACTCGTGACGAAGCAACGAGAACACTTTACAGAGCCCGCTTGAAGGCCTATGAAGTGGCAGTGGAGGCAGCAAAGTGCTCTTACTTCTCTGCCTCCATTGCATCTGCTGCGTCACATCCAGCTCAGATATTTAGAGTCATTAGGCAACTGACCACCCCTTCAGTGGCTCCAAAAGTAGATAAAAATATGTCTATTAGCTGTGAGACATTTGCATTTTTTTAAATAAAGTCTTGCTCCTTCATCATTTGGAGCAAGTAAGCATCTCAGTGCCCTGTCTGTGCAACTGGTTCCATTTTGGGGCTCCTTCAACCCACTCTCCCAGGTGGATGATGGCAGGGTCCAGTTAGTTGTTTGGCCTGCTACCTGCTCCTTGGTTCCCTGCCCTTCCTGGTTGGTGAAAGCCTCCAGGGAAGTGGTAGGACGAGCCTTGGGAGACCTTATAAATCGCTCACTCTCCCAAGGCTCTTTCCCTAGCTCCCTCAGGGAGGTCGTGGTGACATCCCTTCTGAAGAAGTCACTGTTAGATGAGTGAGACATAGCTGATTACCACATTGTATCTAATTAGGGTTGTCAATTGTGGGCACTCCTGGCTGGCGGCTGGAGCGCGTGCACCACATCCACGTCGCCCAGAAGTGACACGGGTACACCGGGCACGCCGGGAGAAGGGCCACGATCATCCAAGGGAAAACCATAGAGTTTTCCCTCGGAAGACCGTGGCCCCGCCCCCAGCGTGCCCGGCATGCCCGCGTCACTTCCTGGTGACATGCAAGTCAGGGTGGAGTTCCCCCTGGGGCCCGATCCGCCGGCGGCGGGGAACGGGCCTCTGGGGTGGGGGGTTTCCTGCCCCCCGGGGGGACTTGGCAAGCCTATATCTAATCTTCCATTTCTGGGAAAGGTGATTGAGTGAGCAGTGGCTGAACACCTCCAGGGGTTCCTGGATGAGACATCTGCCCTAGATCCCTTCCAGTCTGGCTTCCAGACAGGGTTTGGGACTGAGACAGCTTTGGTTGCTCTGGCTGACGATCTCCGGTTACACCTTGATGCAGGTGGGATGGCACTATTGATCCTATTAGACCTGTCAGCTGCCTTTGACACAGTAGACCATTTGGTCCTGGTCAACCGCTTTGCTTCCCCGGGTGTGAGGGGTATGGCCTTTAGCGGGTTCTCCTCATTCCTCCAGGGTTGTTCCCAGAGGGTAATCATGGGTGGAGAGAGCTCTCACTCAGCTGTTTTCAATAGCAAATTTCAATTATTTAAAATGCAAACGAGATGGTCTCTTACACCAAGTCAGTTACATAAAATAAACAAAAATCATAATCCAAATTGTTACAGAAATTGTGGTCACCAGGCAGATTTTATCCACCATTGGTGGCCCTGTGAATTAATAACATTGTACTGGAGATATATTGTTGAACAAATTAAACAAATAACAAATTATGACTTACCTTTAATACCAGAACTGTTTCTACTCTATTTCTGGAAGCAACCTTTAAAGGATAAAAGTAAAATGAAATTAATATCAATATTGTTAGCTATAGCCAGGGGTCATTTCATAGAAAAAGAGCTAGGGGAACTCATTAGCATAACTCATTAGCATATGCCACACACCCTGACATCACCGGAAGTGTGTCATAAGGCCACACCCCCCGCCCCCAATGGTCCCGGCCGCCACCGCTGGCCTTGCAGCTCCACTGCCGAGCCCCATGAGGGGCCTGGCGGTGGACCTGCAAGGCCGGCGGGAGTGCAAGGAAGCCCCGTGAAGGCCCTCCCTGGCCCCAGGCAGGCAGGGGTGGGGAGAGGCAGGGAGGAAGCAACTTACCCTCCCTCTTCTCCTGCCTCCTCCTGGCTGAATGAGGGCCGGAAGCAGGGGGCGGGGCTTCGTCATGTGCCCCGCCCCCGTACCTCACCCGGGGAAACTGCGATCCCCCCGAAATGACCTCTGGCTGTAGCCAGAATTACATTGGCAGCTATGTGGTGTTGCGTGCCTACAATCGAGCAATGGCAAGCTTGACTTTGGAACTACTTTATCATGAGTAAAATCTCAGATAGAGTTAATTATACTAAAGGAAATCATTCCACCACAAAATATATTTAAAATTTATTTCTTGTATCTGTTGCATTGTTTTTATTGGGTTATTTTATATACTGTGAGCTGCCCTGGGTCCTGTTCAGGGGAGAGGGTGTGAGATATAAATTTGAAAATAACAGTAACAATAAGGCTTCTGCTTCTTTTATGTGGGTGCTTCACATGTTTCTCTGCTAATGTATAAAATGTAGAGACTATGTGAGAGGGACCATGGCCTAGTCTTTTGTGGGTACTAGAGATACCAGCTGCCAGGTGGGATCTGGGGATCTCCTGGAATTACAACTCATCTCCAGACTACAACTGCTTTGGAGGGTGGATTCTATTGCACTGTACCCAACTGAGGTCCCAGTCCTCCCCAGGCTCCACTTCCAAATCTCCAGGAGTTCCCCAACCTGGAGGTGTCAACCCTACCCCCCCCACACACTGCCGGCAGCCAGAGAGGGGGGGACCTGGCAGCCCTAATGGGTACCCTGGGGAGTAACCAGGACATGTTGTCATTGTACAAAGTCCCTACATCTAAAACCTTACTTGGGTGGGCGTGAAGCCACACCAAGGCAACCTACACCAAGGTAAGTTTAGAACTAGCCTAAATGCTGGGTGCGGTGGAGGCCAGAAGCGCAGCTGAGTTCTGGCCAATGGTCAAAAAATCTGAACAATCCCTCTAAAGCGCAAGGGCCACAGATAAGAAGCAAGTTCACAGGTCGGGAGTCCAAGAAAGTAGTTCAAAGTGCAGGGACCAGTGGTAAGAAAAGTAAGGCCAGGAGAGCAGGGTCAAGTTCTGAGGCTCCATTTACAAATGACCAAGCCCTTGTGTTTTCTGGGGAACACCACAAGGACTTTGTCTCAAGATGTGCAGTGGGAGTTTTGTGCCTCCCAAACACACACACTGGCTCTTTTTTCTTTGTGACCCCAACACACAGGGTGAAGCGGCTTTAGACTCTCCCCCCACTCACACACAGTTTTGGGGTCTGCAAACCACTCCACGGTGCCACCCCTGGCTCCATACTGAAACTTATATGTAGCCACATATGTAGTGTGGATCAAGGCGGTTTATACGAGGAAAGGAACTGGCGACCAAAGAACAATATGGGACGGATTTTCACTTACTGACAAGATGTCCAGACAGAAAAGGAAAACGGCAAGCTAGTGTTGCCAGGCTGCTCTGAGGGGGGGGGGGGGGGACAGGGGGGGGGGTGCCAGTTCTGTGTGTGCCATGACTCCACATCTCAGAAAAACCAGAAGCAAAGTCATGTTGCTCTAGGAATTGCTGAAAACTCCACAGAGATTCCAGCAACTCCTAGAGCTGATTGATATCATTCCTGGGTTTTCCCAGCAAGTGACCTCACATTGTGTGCAACACCAGTGAGTATTTTTTTTGTTATTGATAATAATAATGATAATAATGATAATAATGATAATACTACTACTACTACTACTACTACTACTAATAATAGTAATAGTAATAATAATAATAATAATAATGCCAGAAGGGAGTAATAATCATAATAATTGTATGGCATTGTGTGTAGTATAGCCAGGAGATCCTAAGTCTGTCTGGCAGGCTGAAGCTCTAGCTCTTTTAGCATTATGCACTACCAGCAACAGCAGATCTTCCACCATAACCTTTTCATATTATGACATCTGCTGTGTGGAACCCTCTGTGCCCCCATCATAAAACCATGTGAAACATTTTGGAGCAACAGGTGCAGTATCTAGAAAGAAGGATTTAGTAATTAATGCCACCTTGGATGTTACAGGTATGAAGGAGAGGCAGACAGCAGGAGCGGATTGGGCACTGTGTTTACCCTTAAAGGGCTGCTGGTTGCCCAGAGCGAGCAGAGCTAACCTTCAACAATGATTGGTGCCAGCTTACCTGTGTGACCATCACTGGGCATTTCTGGCACTGCTGGCTGTGTCTGAGCTGAGTGTCCTTTGTAGTGCTGTTGAAATTCCCAGTCTGTCCTTCTCTGAGAGTCACTTGTCAGAGGTTCCCCGAGTTCCCAGCAGTGTCAAGATTTGATTTCGGGGGCCTCTAGGGTATAGCTGATGCTTTCAGATTCCAGTCACACACATTGGAATGTTGGTGAATCGAATCTATTCTCTTCTGTTGCAGCTCGTGCTGTTATGCTGTTTTCCCTCATTCCATTGCCAACGATCAGATCTATGTTATCCAAACATGTAGAAGGTTCCTCATATGGTAAGTGACTGTTTTGAAGGGTTTAAGTGCAGAGAGAGAGAGAGAGAGAGAGAGAGAGAGAGAGAGAGAAGGTAACTGAATTCAGAATGAGTCCAATTCTGAGGGATTATTTTCTATCCTTTGAGTGCCTAAAACAGAGACCCAACAAGCAAAGCAGGAGAACGTTTGGCTAATTTTGGTCTAATTCTTCATTCCTGACTTACCTTTAAAGATGTTCCAAAAGAATAGACCTCCTAGGCCTGGTTCATACATTCACCACTCTGGCAAAAGACTTTACATCATTATTATTCACTGAATACGCATTTCAACCCCACCTTTCAACTCTTTCCCCCAAATGGATACAACAAAAATATGACTGAATTAAAACAGCTGGTAATAATTCGATCTATAGCAAACAGTCAACCATAGCAGAAACCATCCTTTTACTGAAGGAACATAAACCTCACCCCTTCCCCACTCAGATAACCCCATCTGTGGGATGGAAACTCTATACAGTAGCCTGATTTCACAGTTATCCAGACTGTGTGTAGGTCTTAAAGGTTGCAGGTGATTCTGTTGCTCTTACGATGAGGACGATATAATTCTAAACTCAATGTTTTTTGTTTTAGTTCATAGGCTGTGATACTTCTTTGCAAATCTCATCAGGTGAAATGCAACAAAATGACAGTATAGGGCTTTCCAGAACTGTTTCATAAATTGTGCTAATTATAGTTATGAAACATATGGCTCTCAATGTCTCCACCAATAACCAGTTTACAGAATGACTAATACCAAAAACTATATAAGGGTGCTAATTGCACAAGATGCTTCAGTGCTAATTGCACAAGATGGTTTGGAGTTTTAGATATGCCCTACTAATCTAGGACTCCACTCAGCAATACTTAGCTGATGCAATAAAACCTCAAATACTTATAGGATCACTTTCCACTACTCAAAAGAGAGCTGAGGGAAGAGGACGCCTAGTTATCTAGAGGATCTTCTGCTTGCTTGTAACTAGCTTTCCATCCCTTCGTACCACCTTAGCCATATAAGCAAATCAGAGATTAAGGCAATAAGGGGTTAATTGTTGAAGTGGTTCTAAAGTTTCTTTCCCTGTATTTTCCTTCCACTCTTGTCTCCAGGAAAAGTGTTTGTTCTACTGCAGCTGGCACTGGTGGTCACAGGGGTTGTGACGTCAACAGTCTTTAACAAAATCTATCAGAGCACGCTGGACTGGTTCGGTGGGTTCTGCTTCCTCTTGTCCTGTGGCATAACGTGCTTGAGCCTCATCCCTATCAGGTAAGCAAGGGGAAGGGAAAACATCCTG